AGTAGCAATAGTTGTAATTGTCGTAGGGGTAGTAGTAGTAGTAGTAGTTGTAGTAGTAGTAGTAGTCGTAGTAGTAGTAGTAGTAGTAGAAGTAGTAGTAGTACTAGTAGTAGAAGAAGTAGTAGTAGTAGTAGTAGTAGTAGCAGTAGTAGTAGTAGTAGTAGTAGTCGAAGTAGTAGTGGTAATTGTAGTTGTACTCCGGATAATGGTGGTGGTAGTAGTAGTAGTAGTAGTAGTAGTAGTAATAGTAGTAGTTATTTTTGTTGATGGTGTCGTAGAAGGGCCAGTACTAGGAGTAGCATGGCGTGAGCAGAGAGATAGCAAGTGGTAGTACTAGAAGTAGTGTTAGTAATAGTGGTAGTACTTCTACGAATACGATAGTGAGATGGAGGGGGCCGAGGAGTCATTATTTGTCCCTTGCGTGGCTGAACTGGGGTTCTGCGGTGCGGATTGTTGTTGCGTTGATGTGTATTGTCGTCGTCCCGCCCGCGGCCCAACCGCGACCCAGCCCGTGACCCACCCGCGACCCGCCCGCGACCCACCCGCGACCCACCCGCGACCCACCCGTGAACCACCCGCGACCAACCCGCGACCCACCCGCGACACACCCACGACACACCCGCGACCCACCCACGACCCACCCGCAACCCCCCCGCGACCCACCCGCGATCCACCCGCTATCCGCCCGCGATACACCCGAGAACCACCCCGCGCGCGACCCCGCATTATGATGCTCAACTGCGGGGTGCTACATACTAGTAATCCGCCACCGTGCCTTGAGGCGCGAGGTGGAGTGTCCTCAGGTCCCTTCGAGTTCTCTGCATTGTGTTCTTCAAAAGGCCCACAGCCAGGAACTCCGGGGGCTCTTGGGTGCTACCGAGAGGGTCCCCGCGTGACCTCTCGACGGGCCAAGAGCGCCGTGTTCGTGGCATGCACGCCCAACATGGTTTCAGATGGCCCCGGGGACCTTCCCGGAGCCTTCTTGGGCGCTCCCATGGTCCACCAAGACGGCCCAATAAGCGCCCCAGAGCGCGCAGAAACGGTCCTTCTTGGGGCCCAAGAGGCTCCCAAGGCGGCCCGAAGAGGAACATCGGGGACACGAACTGAAACTTGAGCCCTCCGCTCCAAGACGGCCCCAAGAACCCCCCGCAAGCCCCCGAGGCGAGGTGCGCCCAAGAGGCCATCAAGAGGCCCTCACGAGGCCCGGGAGGCCTAAATCAGACTCCAAAGGGCATCCCAAACGCCCCAAGACAGCCCCAAAACCGCATCCAAGAGGCAACCGGGACGCCTCCCAAGATATCCCCCAGGCCTACAGGAAGCCTCTGACCTACATGCCAGCCACAGTGGCGGGACGGGCCGAATGCCACCAGTGAAAATAGCACAACTACTCGTAGAACTCGTAGATGTGGAACTGCGAGGAGTAGAATAATGGGTAGTGTCCTCATGTCACCGCCATCAAGAATCGAGCGCATTCTGAAAGCCCAACCTCAACCTGACATTGGAAGCGAATAAAGGGGGAGGTGTCTTCCCAGACGGAAGCCCTACAGAACTCGTGAAGCACGCTAGCCCCAGCCATGTTGCCGACGCCACGGCCCTGAACCCTAGCATCAGCCCCTTGCCTGGACCTCAGCCCCAGCCAAACCTGGCAGTGGCCATCAACCCCAGGCCTCGGCCATAGCCTCACCTGGCACTGACCATGATCTCCAGGCCTCAGTCCTACCCCTTAACTCTCAACCATCATCCCTAGCCCTACAGCCTCAACCCTTCATACATTAGCCCTCAGCTTCCTCAGCTTTCGGCTCTAGCCGTGGCCCTCGGCCCCAAGCGCGACCCTAACCCTATACCCTCAATCACTGACCGCTCCCTCGGCCTTTGCCTCAGCCTCAGCCCTAGCCATAAAATAGTCAGCCCTCAGACATTGATCCATCAACCCTGACCCTAGCCCTCCATTCCAGGGCTCAGCCCTAGCCCTACAGCCCAAGCCATTCGCAGTAGCTTCAGCATTCGCCCAACACGATGCTCAGCCCTCAAACTAAAGATCCCTCAGATCTGGCCTCAGCCCTAGCCTTTCAGCCCTGGAGTCCGCTCGAATTTCCCCTACAGACTCAGCCATCCACCATAGCTTCAGCCCTAGCCTGAGCCTCAGAACCCTAAAGCCTTCATCCTCAACCCAAGAGCCCACAGCCTTGGCCTCAGCCCAGGCCCTTTAGCCAAAGCCTCGGACCTAGTCTCAGACCCCAGACCCATAGCCCCATAGCTTATAGATTCACCACTCAGCCCTGGCATTCAGTCCCACGGGTCTACCAGGAGCGAAGATGATGCGAAGGCGCCTGCCTTCATATCTCAACCATGAACGAGCGCATGATTGATGTCGACGGAAGCTCATCACATCAGGCGTCGCCGCACAGCCCAAGCATTAGCCACCAGACCCATCCGAGGCGGACGAGCACAGCTGAAGAGCTTTTGACGTTAATCATTCGCACGCGAAGGCTCAAGATGC